TCAGCAGCCCTCCGGCGTTCCCACCACACTCCTGGCCTTACACTTGCTCTGCCCTGGATTTCCTCAGCGCTTGCACTTGGTTCTTTCAGGGGAGTGAACTCAGGGCCTTGCACACTTGGTAAGCACTTTACACTGAGCTACACCCAAGACTGTTAGTCAGTTTAGCCAGAACCCCACCCCCATATCTAATTACCCTCAGTTCTTAAGTGGCCTGTGCAAGAGGCCTTTCCTAACAACCATCTAGAGCACAGCTCTGCCTCCCTTTTCCCTACGTTGCCTGACATAGGATCACCTCCTCCCTGCCCCCGTTAGAATGTAAGCTCCTGAAAAGCAGGGATAGGGGCTTTGCTGTAGCTTTTCTGCCTAGACTACACTGGTGATGTAATCCCAGTTACTCAGGTGGCTGAGGCAGGCCAGGCTGGACAAATTAATGAGAAGACCCTGTCTCAAAATACAAGATAATAAAGACTAAATGTAGCTCAGCACTTCCTGAGTTCAATTCCCTGTACCAACAAAAGCAAAAAACACTGGTGGGTACTTTACTATGGGCATCTCATAAATGATGAACAAAACAGAAAAAATTAGAAAAATATATGGGTTTAAATTCTAGGCAGAATATGGGCAAAAATTTCCTCCTCTGAAAAAGGATCTGCCAGGAAAAGGTCTATAGTGGAAAATCCACAGCTCTGCACAGCAGGTATCCCACTACCCACTTATGGAGGGGTAAAAGGCCAAGAGGATGATTTACCAGGTCCATGTCTCCTTCCCAACAGGAGACCCCATCTCAAAACTGCCTGGAAACGATCAATGTCACGTGATACTTTAGAGGTGTTTTGCTCAGGCAGGGCACGGTGAGGCACGACTGTAATCCAGCACTCTGGGAGGCTGAGGCAGGAGGATCGCACGTTTGCGAGACTGTCTTGAACAAACAAGCAAACAATTAAAAAAAGCACAGTGTCAAAAAAAAGAAAAAGAAAAAGAAAAAGTGTCATACAATGAACATACGCAGGGTTTTGGGAGCGACTTGTGGCTTGGACCCCAGTGTCTTGCTGTAGACAGCCACGCTCACAGAGATGGGGAAGAAGGACAGATTTGTATCTGACTGCTGGGTGACCCTTGGAAGCGCCTTAGCCAGGGACCCCGAGGCCTCCTCCCGGGTCCTGGAGTCCTGCTCAGTGAGTGCCAGGCTCCTCCGCAGGGCTGGATCCGGCAGCAGGACCCGAGGAGACCTCGAGTCCCGGCCAGGCACGAAGGGGTGCTGTGCGGAAACGCCCCAGCTTTGCCGCTCTCTCGGCTGCCTTTCCCTAGTGGAGTGTACTGGAAACAGTCCAAATGGAAACAAAATAAAATGAATCAAGCAACCAACTCCTCGGCATTATCCAACTCCCCCTCCCCTTCTTCCTCCCTATTTTCCGGGGACCACGACAAGAAGAGGCGACATTTCCTGACGACGGTGTGGGCCTCTGCAGTCGCAGCTTTTGTTATCCAAACGGCTGCTCGCTTTAATCCGGTGAAATAAAGATGAGCTCCTCCAAGACAATTTGTGGTTCGTGGCACGACCTGCAGGGGGCGCTGCTGCGCGCGTGGCCGTGAGGGGGTTAGGCCGGGCCTGAGCACGCGGGGAGCGGCTTGCGGGGAAGAAGGGGGACGCTGAGAGAACGGCGCTAGGGAGCATCTCGGTGCAGGTCAAGCTTCCTTCCCAATCGGAAGGAGGAGGCCGACGGCGGCGGCGTCTGGGAAGAGCCCAGACCCGGCTTGTTGCTTAGCAACGCAAACCCGAGTGTTCATGAAAGCGGACCGGGTGCAAACCACAGTGAAAGGCGGTGGTACAAAGCCCGGGCGGCCGCCGCTCTATGTAGAAGGGCTGGGGAAGGCCAGTCCTGCGTCCCTCCCATCCCTTGGGACGGCGACGGGGCTGTTAGGACCCCAAGTTGGGGCCAGAGTGGTGAGCTGGGTGGAGCGTGGATCTGTTCTTTCAGCAGCGTTCAGCACTCGACCGCGGAGCACGCACACCCTGATTACCACGGCCTCACCTTATAGAGCCGGAGTTCTTCCTTTGGTATTTTGTTGTGGCGACTTTGCCGTCTCTGTTACCGCCCTTTCTTTCCTGACCCCCAAAGCAAAAATCAGGGAAAATGATAAAATAGTGGGGAAGCTAATTGGGAGTCACTACCTGAAATCGTGCCCCGAGGACTTCTGAAACCGGGATGAGTCCATTATTAGTATTCCAGCTCCCAAGAAAATTTAACAAATTTTGCATTCTCTTCGCCAAGGCCTCCCAGGAGAATTAAATTGGGTAATGAGACGGTATTAATATTAAATTCTGAACAGCCAACAACCATAACTCATTAGTTGCGCTCTACTGGGTATAGAGAAACGTGATAAGGAATGAAAAAATATGTGACACTAGTTTAAAACGCAAGCAGGTAATGTATTTTTCTCCTTGAATATCATACTCTCAGCTGTCGCATGTACTATATGTAGAAAATAGACTTCATTAAATTAACTCATTTGTGGTTTATTTAAAATAAAGGGCGCTGGCAGTTTGGGTGTTGTACTTCATTAGAAGGCCACCAGAGGGAGCCCAAGTTTGCCTCCTAGTGAACTCCTGGGTAACGAAGTTCAAGGACTCTGGAATTTAGCTAGGACCATTTCACTGCCTGGAGAACATATTGCTAGGAAGTAGGACACAGGACGGCTAACCGCAGGACCACTGGTGTGAAATGGATTCTAAGATCTTGATTTTATTTTCAGGTGCAGGTTGCTGCTGCTTGGTAAGGAGGCCTTCACCCCTCCCTCTCCACTTGTCTACGTCTGTAGGAGTTTTTATACTTGCACAGTGACAACTCCTGGAATCATGTCATTCCAGCCCAATGAACAATGTGAATGGGTGTGAATAGGAAGATGCGTGTACCCTCAGAGAACACTGAATGAAATAAGCCCTCGTTAATCAAAAGAACTTTGCCATGTGTTCTCAAGTTCAAGTTCTGAATAGATACTGGATCCCCTTTCATTTTGAAATACATATCTGAATCTCCTCTGTTAATGGCGACTCACTATATTAATTACAAATTAATTGTAACTATATTAATTACAAATTAATTTGTAACTATATTAGTTACAAATGACCCTTGAATGTAATTTTTAAAGCAACATTAAACATTTATTTTCTCAGAGTTTCAGTAGGTCACGAACCCAGGAGCAGCTCCGCCAGGTAGTTTTAGCTTGGTGCCCCCCTCACGAGGTTGCTGTGAAAATGTCAGCTGCGTCCCTAATCATCTCAACCCGTGCCTGGACCGAGTGTCCAGTCCTGCGCATGCTTGTTGGTAGGAGCCCCTATTCCTCACTCCCGGATCCCATGATAGAGCTGTCCCATGTCCCCGCCGTGGTATGTAGCAGCTGGCTTCTCCTGAAGTTTGAGACCTAACAGAAGGGGAGCCAGGTGGGGCACACGGTCCACACTGTAATCCCAGCTACTCAAGGCTGAGGCAGGAGGACCTCAAGTTCAAGACCAGCCTGAGCAACTTAGTGAAAAAGCTGTCTCAAATTAAAAAAAAAAATGCTTAGAAGGGCTGATGTTGTATGAGGAGGTAGCATAGTGATACAGCCCTTGCCTGGCATGTGTGAGGACTGGAATTCAAAACCCAGTTCTAAAAAAAAAAAAGGTTTTCATGGCCTAGCTTTGGAAGTCACATTCCATCCCGTTTCCTCCGCCTCCCTATGTTCCCTGGTCAGCCCTATTGAATGCGAGAGAGAGACAGACTACCCAGGTGTGAATAGCACTGTAAGGGGACCGTAGGGGACCCTCTCTGACCACTCACCTTGTTCTTAAAATGCATACTTAAATCTTCTTTCAAATGTACAACTTCACTGTTCAGTGTGATTTTTCTTGTTAAGAATGTACACCCGAGGAGACCGAGAGATGGAAGGAGGGAGGGAGGTAAAGGGGAATAAAAAGAGTCAAGATGTGTTATGTACACATCCACCTCCCCATGACGGATGTAATCTTTATGAACTGCAAATGTGGGAATAAAAATTAAAATTAAAAAATGAGACCATAAAAAAGAATGTACACCTGAATCATCTTTAAAAATCGTATTGGTACATTTTAGATCTATAGAATGACCCATTTGCCATAGGGAATTTGCACCTGTACATATTTTTTGCTTCATTTTTTCTGAATCACTTTTATAAATTGTATTTTATCCCATTGTCCCCTCCCTTGATGCCCCTTTCCCTTCCTGTGTACAAAAGCTTTGTTTCCATTTTTTTCTTCTATTTTCACTTTTCTGAATTACTTTTAAAATATATGATATAACTTAATTTTCTTTGAAGTACAAGTCTGCTTTCCTCTGTGGATCAGAAAAGGATTTATGAAGAACTGTGTTGGGGGGGTCATGCCCTATCTTTAATAAAGTATATACTGTTAAACATGCTTATCTTTCATAACTGTAACACTGATTTCAGAAGAAGAGGTCGCCTAACTTCTGTTTGGGGATATTTTCCTCGTTTCTTTCCGCATGCTGACTTTTTCTAGCCAGTATTTCGTTACAGTAAACAATCAAAGCAATAGAAGTCAGCTCTGGAATCGCTTTGATTTATAATTAACAACCCCAGTCCTTGCCTTGTATGACCTAACACTGGATGTCCCTGCAAGATAGCTGGAAGGGGTCTTACATTCTCTTTTTGCAAGGACGTCAAGGCCAAGAGGTTTGAAGTTCTGAGCCACCGGGTGACCATGGATGACACGAGATGGGAGAGGAAGGCCCTGCCTGTCGCTCAGCAGACAGCCTCCACTTCTGGGGACAGAGAGCCAGTGCCCCGGCATCAAATCGCTGCCACTGATCCGGACAATGTGCACACGGTAACATTTCCAAAGGCGAAGCCGCGGGCTTCGGAAACACAGACACCCTGTGCGATGACCTTCATGGGAAATAGCTTCAAACAGCTTGGCGAAGGCGAAGCCAAGAGCTTCTCTTTGTGCTAAGAAAGTCAAGACTGTGTTCCCTTTGGCAGTGCATATACTAAAATAGGAACCATACAGAGCAGGTCAGCAAGATCCCTGCGCAGCAACGACATAAAAACTCATAAAGTGTTCCAGCATTTTTTTATGTCAAAGTTAACAAATGTAGAGGCAATTTGATGAGGATGAAAAAGAAGCCTCAATAAGTAGCTAAAAAGAAAGCGAGCCTCTGAATCTAATATATTTCTATGTAGGACCATTAACAAAAACCCTCCCATAGGGTGGGAGATGGGGTGAGTCCAGTTCTCCCGAGCCAGCCACCCCCGCATCCAATGCCCAGGAGATACAGGGCAGTTTATCATAATGGCTAAGGGCATGTTACCTTGGAGTCTGAGAGACTTGAGGATGAACTGTCCCTTCACCTCTCTGGCTGTGTGACCCTGAATGCTCAGGCTAAGGTTCAGTGGGCCCCTGTGGAATATGGAGATAACTACCCTCCCTGGGTGGTTGGGAGACGGTCTCTTCACCCATGAACATAGCTGAGAGGGTACCTGTGAAGGACCCGCTAGTGCTGGCCAGGTGCGGTGGCAGGGCAGAGCCGCGACTGAAGCGAGCAGCAGGAAGGATTGCCAAGGTGACCTGCAGTCACCACACTCTATTTTCCTTAAAAAAAAAAAAAACTGAATGAACTCTCTGAGGACAATTAGTGGGTGTGAATGCCTGATGGCCCACACTGAGTCCACACGCTGGCATTTCAGGGTCCCTGGAGCCGCAGCCAGGTCCCCACTGTGCACCCTAAAACGGTCTGCTGGTGACTAATCCCCCCCAAGGGCTCCTTGCGTAGAGAATGTGAACTAACAGGCAAGAATCATCACCAAGCTTTCAGCTCAAAAGAGGGGGCCAAGATGAACAAACAGAAAACAGACATTATTCAGGGACACGAGGGGCAACCTCTCCTCAGTGTCCTCAGAGAAATCCACAACGCTAGGGCGTTACTCAGGTAAGAAAAATGAAAGAACAAGCACTCTTGGAAATGAAAACATTTAACTAAAATGTTTTCTTAATGGAAAGGATTGAAAGGTAAAACTAAATTTCTCAGAACAAAAATTTTTAAAGGGCAAAGGAGGAAACTGAAAGAAAAGATCAGACGCTTAGAGAACCAGTCTAGGACCCAACCTCTGACTAATGGCAGCCTGAAAGGTAAGAGGACTGAGTGCAGCTCACTCCCAGTTGCTCAGTGTGTGCAAGTGCCTGTGTGAGGGGAGTTCACACACGTGGAAAAACTTCCCCTGAAAAGGAAGATTCATCTTCAAACGAGATGTGATATCGATTACTCGGCCAGGAAATGTCTTTTTAAAATTTTTAAATTTTAAGTTTATTAATGCACGTGTGCAATACACAATGTTTGCATTCCTTGTGTGGAGTTGCTACGTGTGCAGAACACATCTCAGCTCCTTTTCTCGTCCCCTTCCCCTCCCTCCCTCTGCCCTCCCTCATCTCTTGGTCCCCTTCTCCTTTGAGAACAATCTGTCTCCTTTTGTCTTATTATGTGTCTTTTATTCTGCTCCTTTATTTCTACGCTGAGTTTCTCATATAAACCATGTGATTTAAGCTTGTGTGTCTGATTTATTTCACTTAACATTACAGTTTCAAAGTGCATCTGTTTTCCTTTCCAAGATTTAGCTATTACTAAGTTGTGCTGCTATTAACAGAGTATTACTATACTATGATGTCTTTAACTATTTGGGGAAGATACTTAGAAGGGGAATAGATGGGTCAAATGGGATTTCTAGTTTTAGTTTTGTCAGGACTCTCGTACTGACTTCCATAGTGATTGTACTAGTTTGTATTCCCATCAAGAACGTAGAAGACCCCCCCACACCTCTCCAACGTTTGTTATTATTTGATTCCTTGACGATGGCCATTCTTTCTGGAGCAAGGTGAAATCTCAGTGTTGTTTGCATTTCTTCAATGGCCAGTGATATTGGACACTTCTTCATGTATTTGTTGGTTTCTGTGAAGTGTCTATTGATTTCATTTACCCATTTTTTAATTGGATCCAACTTTCTTGAGTTCTTTATATATTCTAGATATGAATCCTCTGCCTGAGGAATGGCCCAATAAATGTTAAAAGACTCATATTAGGGCACATCAGGTATTTCATCTTTAGTGAAATATCAGATCACCAAAGATAAAGAAAAATTAAGAGGTACAAGAAAGAAAAAACAATTTAATCCCAGTAACTCTCCTAAGCACTATTCTTTTATTAAATCATTTAGTCCTTACAACAGTCCTATGAGTAGGCAGTGTTATTCGCATTCTTGTTTCACAGACAAGGAAACTAAGGTCACAAAGCCAGCAAACAATGACAGAGCCAGGCAAGCCAGTTTTATAGGCAGTGATGCACCTACTGCCCTCAACGAGGAAATGACACAGACTGCTCCACAGTGCTGGAAGCTGAATGGAAATGGCTCAATGTCTTAGTGTTTCTTTTCTAACACACACACAGGGAGAAAGAGACATGGGCCTTGCTATGGTTGGAATGAGCCCTTCCTCTTCCGAAATGCGTGTTGGAGCTGAGGCCCCACTGTGGCTGTATCAGAGCGTCCGGGAAGTGGCTGTCCTGAAGGCAGAGGATGGAAGGGTGCTCACTCAGGCTCTCCTGCAGGGTGAGGCTGTGAAAAGGCGCCACTGACCCTGTTGGAACCTGGACTTCCAGCCTTCCCCAAAGCTTGAGAAGTCAATTTTTATTATTTGTAAGTCACTAGTTTCAGGTATTTTGCTATAGAAGAACAAACTAAGACAAAGAGGTCAGTCATTCATTTACTTTTTCCTCAAGATCGCTTCTCAGGCCTTTTGGCTACTATCAAGCGTATTTTTTCCTCAAGAGACAGGCTCTTGTTAAGTTGCCCAAGCTGGGCCCTGAAATCCTGGACTCAGATGCTTGTGCCAGGACTACAGGTGCATGCTACTGCACCTGGCCAAACATGCATTCTCTCTCTCTCTCTCTCTCTTTTTTTGGTTTTTTGAGACAGGTGACCTGGAACTCACTATGTAGCCCAGGCTGGACTCGAACTCACAGCGATCCTCGTGCCTCAGCCTCCCAAATGCTGGGATTACAGGCATGCGCCACCACAGCCTAAACATGCATTCTTGATCAGCAGGATTAAGACATCAATTTAAGAATTACAGATAGCACCAGGCATTGTAGTGCATGCCAATAACCACAGATACTTGGGAGGCTGAGGCAGGAGGACTGCAATCTTAAGGCCAGCCTGGACAATTTAGGGCTACTCTCTCCCAAAATAAAAAATAAAAGGGTTGGGGTAGCTGAGTATTACAGTGCCCCTGGATTTGATCCCCAATACTGGAAACAAATTAAAGACAGTATGTATCGCATTAAATTTGAACCAGGGAGGTCCTGGGTGGGGAAGTCTGTCATATGGCTGAGAACAGGGCTGAACATGGTGCTGGGGAGAAGCTGGGGAGTGCAGGCGGCATCAAGGCAGGGAGAAGAAGTTGGGTACAGACGCTGAGGAGGAAGCTCTGAGCAGCTAGACACAGGCTCGGGGTAAGGAAGGGAGCAAGGAAGGCTTGTGAGTCATGGCCCTCGCTGCCTCTGCTAGAAGCTGCCCGTGACAGCACCTGGGCTGGTCACCCACTGATCGTCACTGCCTCTGGAGTCTCCATCCAGAGACTGCTGGGCAGGCAGCTGGGAAGGACCCACCTCTCTCTGAGCCTCCGTTTCCTCCAACAAGGCAAGAATTAGCCTTCTACAAAACCTGAGAATGAAACTGGATCTCATATTTACTCTGCCTGAGAAGCCTCAAACTCCCTCACTCGGCAGCACTGTAGGCCTGGCTCCCGAAGCTGTGCTAAAGGAGACTCAGCTTTGCTCTTCCCAGAAACACATCTCCCTGGCTCTGAGGAGGAAGAGGATATGGGGCACTGTCACGCCCAGGCACAGCTCTGCTCCTCGGCAGAGGCAGGTGGTGACCCCAGGGGTCTTTCGGAAGGGGTGCAGGTGCATTTCTGCTCCATGCTTGTGTCTAGAAATACAGAGTGTCCCCCTCCTCCTCCACAACCGTCTAGCTCACGGCTTCCGCTTACTGCCTGTCTCATCCCACCCTGACTCCCAACCTCACTCCTCTGGCCAAGAACTGTTGCCAGCTGCGTCAATCTGATCGCTCCGGCCCTCCAGGCACCAGCATCATTCCCTCGACTCCAGTGCTCTTGGTGAGACCGAGCCCCTTATGTGCCAAGGGCCCTGCTCAATGCCCCCTCCCCGCGACAACCATCAGATAGCAACAAAAACCTTTCCATTTTGGCTCCCATGTGCATGATTTGCTCTGGTCATTCTTTGCTTCAGAACATCTCTGGTCTACCTTTCTTGTCTACTTCCATCTTACCAAGTGTCTCTTGGGCATCAAGCCTTGGGCTGGATAAAGGGCACAGATACTAATCCCAAGTTCTGAGGAGGAGGAGGAGTTTAGTGGTGGGTGCCACACATCTGTGGGCTCCCCACAGGGCAGCACAGTGTGTGCTCTCCATCTTCCCAGCTCCTGCACCACAGCTGACCGGCCAGGCCTTCTGAGCCTTGAGATCAGTTCTCTTCACGTAAATTCTGCCCCAGGGCCTTCCTACTTCAGAATTCTCAATTTCCTCATAACCTGTTACTCTAGTGTTATTTCTTAGAGAAGGAAATTTAAAATATCAGGCAGAAGAATTCTCCTGAGCCCTCTTCCCACAGAGTTGTTATTTGCAGGGTGATATCACTGGGGAGAGTCAGGCCATCAGAGCACAGGGGTTGCCGATCGGTGGGGCTGTGCTAGGGACGGGGCCTGGAGGGCCTCCTGCTCAGGGCTCCACCAGATCTCTCAGGGTGTGCAGCTCCATTCCTCATTGGTGAGCTGTCACCAAGTTGCAGGGCAGTGGAGTGAGGGCTCAAAAAATGTGCCCTCCTCCCCTCCCTCCCAACTCTAGAAGGAGTTTCTTCACCCATTATCAAGTCTTCGTGAAGACAAGCAGGGTAACAGTGTCAAGTGCTAGGAAAACAACATGAAACTCCTGCAGCTCTGAGTGACAGTTTCTTAATTTCCCTCGTCAGACACCTGAAAACAATGCTCAGAGAGACAGCTCCTGGC